CAAGCACATATCCGTGGTAAACAGCGGTAACCAAAATTACCAATTTTAAACATGTTGTTTTTCCTCCTCTTCCAGTATTATTAAAAAGCCATCAGCTTTGACAGATGACTAGAAAAAAAAAAAAAAAAAGAATGCGGGACAGCAGTAACAATTGAGAACGGTTAAGCACCAGGGAAACTGTTAAAAGATTGAACACCAAACAGTTATTTCATTCATCACTTATTCCTTTTCCTTCGTTTCTGTTCCTCTCTCTCATTTCTTATTCCTCTTTTTTTCTTTTGGTTGTCATAATTGCTATTGTCGGCGGTTGATACCATTAGTAAAAATGAATATCAATAAGTCACCTTTTTTCTATAAAATTTGTTTAGCTGGACAAAAGCCTAACTTCCATTGACAGTATTTGTTAGCCTTTCTCTTTTGGAATGGAAGAACGATTAATGGAAAGATTGGCGAAAAAAAAGATAGAAAAAAGATAGAGCAAAAAAAAAAAATTATTTGGTTGATTCACTTCTGTGTAAATCTGTCAACGCTAAATTTGACATCTGTCGTTGTGGCAGACAAAATCAAAAAAAAAAAAAAGGAAAAGGTTTTTTTCCTGTATCGAAAAAAAAAAATTTCTTTTTAGTTTTTTACCAAATGTTTTATTTTTTTTTTCTATTTTATAAGTACACAGAAAAATACTGTTTTAGAACTTTAACATAACATTTGTCTAAACAACACTGCCTTTTTTTCTGCTATATTTGTTTCCATATATTGTTGGATATAGGAAAGAGGAAAAAACAATTTGACAGTACTTTCACATTTGTTTTTGTTCCTTTTAATTTTTTCTGTTGACAAAGCGTTATCGTTTCCTCTTTTATTATTGAAATTTATTTCATAAAATTGAAAAATAATTAAAATTGACTTTTATGTGTTGACTGTTAAATTACAGCAATTACAACAATAATATTTGTGGTAGCGCTAATATTTTGGCCAATGTTTTTGGTTGAAAATCAACTAATTACAGTGCTACAAACCAATATATGTGTAAGCAACAATCTTTAATGCTGTTTACACATTTACAATGTTCATATTTCGTATCAAAAAAAAAGCAATCTTTGTTGAATTGATACAAATATAGAATAAATTTTTTGTTTTATTTATGCAATTCTGTCTACCAATTATCTTCGTCAGTCTGATGAATATACAACTTATAAAAATGACGAACAGATGCATAACCAAAAGCATTAATAGGCCAATGCTGTAAGTTCAGTAGTGTTTGAATGCATTGGTAATATGAATCTGAATGGCCTTACATTATTATCTGTCTAAAAATACTGCTATTACTGCTGTTGTCGTTGTTATTCAGCAGAAATGTAAGAATGAAGAAAAAAAAAAAAGAAAACAACGACAACAACTGATTTTACTAGATGTAAAATATTTTTTTTTTTGAAAGTGATAGCATAAGTTTTTCTTTTCTTTCTTTCTTTCTTAATTTTTTGCAAATTCGGACATTAACGAGGAACAAAAGTCGGTAAGAACAGTTAAACTTAAAGATAAAAAAAAAAAA